TTAAGAAAAATATCTTGTATTATTTTCTTTATCTCAAACTTGCTTTATCTTACTTGCTCAATTTTTCTAGGGTTAAAGGGCAAAAAATATCTAGAATTTTTTATCTCAAGGAATGCTTATCATCCTAAATATAATTTTTTTAAAGCAAACAAAATTATAAAAAAAGGGAGTAATTTTACCCCACCATAATTAGACTAACATTTTACTATTAACTTTGACTAGAATTTTTTTTATTGTTGACCAAGAATTTTACCTTGAATCCTATTCATCTGCTTCACAAAGTTCTACCGCACCACCAAAATGAATTTACAATGTCTTTTTAAGTTTCAGAGGCACGTATACTTGAAAGGGTTTCTTTTCTCATCTTGTTACCACTCTAAGATAGGTCAGAATTCATGCTTTCATCGACGATAAGATGCTTGAAAGAGGAGAAGAGATCTCTTGCTCATTACTGTAAGCAATCCAAGGATCACGAATCACACTCATAATTTTATCTCTAGATTATGCATAATCTTCTAGATGGTGTCTAGATGAGCTAGCAAAAATAATCAAATGTCAAACAATTTTTGCTTGGTTAAAGAGAGGTATGAATAATTCAAGATTTTCTAGCATTAATGACAACCTAAAAAAAATCATCATAGCGGATGAGGCCACTAGACAAGACATTAGTGAGAATGCCAACACCATGAACTTTAATAATTTATTTGAAGATAGTGCTTCATAATCCCATTTCATAGCTCTTATAATTTTCATTAACATGTAAGAATGAGAACATTCTAAAATAATAGATACACCAGGCACCTATCATGAATTAAATTGACCATATGAAAATATATATGCTCAAATATCTCTTGATAGCAACAGAGAGCAAGAAAAAGATAATAACAAAAGGGAAATAAGCAGAGAAAGCAAAATTACAGACTTGAAAGGGAAGGGAAATTAGAACAGATATAAGGGAAGGGAAGAAATACTTCGGAAGGAAGGAGACTCATTAAAATCATTGAGACCCTAGACATTCTACCCTTCTCTTCATATATAACATTAGGAATTCTCTCTCATTTTTATTATTTTTAATAGTATCATATAAAGCAATAAAGGCACTACCAACATTACTACTGTTCTTGAATGATCCTAAGCCATGTATCCTTCTTGGGTCTCACTAATGTTTGGAAGAGTCATGACATTACCCTCCCCATAGAAATTGACCTTATCCTTAAGGTCGAAGTAAGGATAAATGTAATTAAAGGCTTTAATCAGTATACAAAAAGTTTCATTGAAAGTATGTTGTAGAATTATACGCATAGCTACATCAAAAAAGTCCTATTTAAATGCATAAACTATGAACCGAATGATTTGCACTGTAGGAAGCTTACACACAATCAGATTTTGCAATTGAGATTTCTTGAAACTCAAGCCCAAGTATTTGATCAATTTAATTATGGCAAAAGAAAGACATATGGCACTAGTAGGTCCCATGAAATCATTATATTGTATACCCACTTCAATCATGTGACAAATCATAACTTTAAAATAGAGCCTAATAGTTGAAACTCCTTATACTCCATATGACAGTAGAGGGATGTGGGAAAATGCCAAACCTAATTGTTCATTGTTCCATGTGTCCAAATAATGCTTTAGTTGTATTGCATATGTATCAAGGGAATTAAGTTGATCTTCATCCTTAAGGATATTCCCTTACTTAACTCTTTACTTGTGGCACTATAAAATAATCCAATAACACAAAATTGAGCTACTATAAAGGTTTTAGGTACCATATCTTGAACATAGCAAAATGCAAATTTTCCAAAAACAAACACAAATAACACATAGCATATAAGAGGTTGCAATATTGATGCATATTATTCTAAAATTGAAGACCTGTATGGCAAAAATGAGTGGCATAGTAATAACTTCAATTGCATCAAGTAAAATAGCTATCATGTTATGAAGAAAAGAAAAAATACTAACTCTTTAAGATTGGCATATATGCCTCCTATAGCCAGCTAATTAAACTAGTAAATCTTTATTTTCCATAAATGTATCTGATCACATTGCCTAAAACCTCATGAATATAAAGGAAAGGAACCAATCCAAGTGTTGTACAAAGCTCTTCAATGGAAATAATTATATTGCCTTCGGTTTATAAAATTACATATGCAAAGCATAGAAATGGTACCAAATTTTAGAAACCTTTGCATACTGGATATAAATGCATAGCACTTGCTAATACTCATACTAATTTGCAAAAGAAATATTGAAATCAAAATTGTATTGCATTATTGTAGCAGTGGTTGCGGTAGTCAAAGTATTTAATAAATGATATAGCTCAATAACAACATTCAAGCACTAGTACATCTTAGAATCTCCTGGGTCCCACACAATCATATAATATGGCAAAAAATTTAGCAAACTAAGATGTGATAGACATCTTGAAATGCATCCAAGGAATAAACACCTAGTGGCCATCACAAAAGGAACACAACATTTTCTAAGCTTAAGGACAATAACAATAATATCACCACTTTCACCAAAATCATAAGCATCAAGATCAACATTTTTTACATCATTAAGTTCAAATATCAAAATAATATTCAAGCAATGAAAAAGCCACAATGAGTAAATCAAACCCAAATAGAATATGCATTGGAGAAGCACTCCATGTGCCAACTTGTGCTTGACAAGGTCATCACCATACATAGAATATCTTTCATCATATACACCGGCTAAAACAAAATGTATGTTATAAGTGGTGGGCCTAAGGTTAAATGTTAAACAAATAGGTAAGCAAGTATAATCCACCGCTTACTAAAATTTCCACCAAAATTAATTTCATACCCCTTTAATTCACCTAAGACATTAGAGCATCCCTTAAATATTTGTAGATGCCATTTCACAAAAAGAGAAAGGATAATGGAAATACCTGGATCAAATATCTGCCACATATTAAGTCTTGTAGAATCCTCCAGTATGTGATTCTAATGACCAATTTATTGGCTAGTACAGTGTGCAACTCTTCTTCTTTGTAAAGAGTGATGACAAGAGCAGGTTCACGAACCTTGTTATACTTGTGGCCATCGATCAATTGCAAACTAAAGTGGTCGAATGTGTTTTTAGGGTAACAAAAAGAAATGGATTATATCATTTAGGCTATAACTAATTTGGGTCTAATCACAAAAGTGACATACTATCTGGAAAGAATAAGACCTAGGAATTAGGAGCCCATCTTTATGCTCCATGGATGTCTTATTGGTTTTAGCAAGCTCCTCAATTGCAACAGAGCTCACAATGTTGAAGTCAATAATGTCAACAATCATCTCTTCAACTTCAACAAATAATTTTCATAGTGATAGAGCAAAGGTGTTTCCTTGGAGGTGATCCTTGATTATGATGCTTGGTTCTAACTATGAAGAGGATTGGGATTGTGGAAATAATAGATGAATTAAATAAAATAGATTCTGAGAAGAGGTAGGCTCATAAACCAAGCCCAAATGATTCATCAATACAACAAATGTAGCTTCAATTCTATCCAAGTGAGAATAATCCTTCATTGCAAAAAAGGAAGAATCAAGTTAATGAGAAGAATCACCATGATGTTCATGTTGCTCTATGGAAGTCACAAATCTTGTTGACTCTATTTGTTCACTTAATACAACTTCAACCTCTCAACGAAAGCACCATTTGTCATGAACTAAATTGACCATATGAAAATATATATGCTCAAATATCTCTTGACAGCAATAAAGAGCACAAAATAGTTAACAACAGAAGGGAAATAAGCATAGAAAGCAAAGTTACAGAGTTGAAGGGGAAGGGAAATTAGAACAGATACAGGGGAAGGGGAAGAAATACATCAAAAGGAAGGAGACTCACTAAAATCATCGACACCTTACTCATTATACCCTTCTCCTCATATACAGCATTAGGAATTCTCTCTCATTTTTATTATTTTTAACAGCATCATATAAAGCAATAAAGGCACTACCACTGTTCTTGAATGATCCCAAGCCACATGTCCTTCTTAGGTCCCACCAATGTTTTGAAGATTCAGGACAACACCATAGAATTCAAAAAGGATTTACAACACCATGGCCTTCAATTTTTGCTTTCTACTCCCCCATCTTTATTTATTTAGATTTATTTCCTTACCTTGCCTGTTGTTCATGGGTCTCCACACTACTGTACTCAGGTCTATAGACTTCTCTTTGTTTATGCCGCACATGAAGTTTCTATTAGTGGCTCAACGCATAGACACTTGTGAAAAGGATGAACCCAAAGTTGGTGGTGAATCAACAGTGACGAGTTGACTTAATGGTGGAAGATCTAGTTGAGGCAATGAGACTAAGTAGGGGGGAACATGACAGCATTGTGTTTATTAGAGCAATGTTATGAGTGGAAGGAGATGAAAGAGAAAGCCAAGAAAGTGTTTTAGATAACCTTCAAAATTGAGCCTGATTTAGTTAAGGATTATAGGAGGCAAGTTTCAAACTCAATGGATTTTGGAATTGGCAAGTCTTGACATCTTCTTGCTAGGTCGAAGAGAGAGAAGAAGTTCAAAGTGATACCTGTATTGAACTGTTAACATGATTGTGAGTTAATGATGGAGTAAAATTATACTTTTTTATAATATCAAAATAATATTATTTTAGAAAAAATTAAATACCATATTGACAAAAAAATTTCAAGATATTTTTGCTCTTTAACCTATTTTTTAATCTCATTCTTTGTTTTTTGAATTTTATTGTTTTATTCACTTTTCAAAAGCTTTTGAAAAATTTTAAATTGCTTAATTCATTTTCCTTCATGTGTGGCACAATATTCAACAATTTACTCTCAAAAGCATAAGCTTTGCTTTAATATCAATAGAAAATTGCTTAATTAAGAAAATTAAATCTCCAAAATTTGTCTAATTAATTAACAAAATTCCAATTGTTTCAAAATAAAGTATTATTGAATTTTATTAGTAGAAGTCATACAATTCTTGATATATATGCAACCAAAAAAAGGACAATAAATGTAGCACATTAATTTTTAAGGGTAATTAACTATAAATTCTTGGATAAACTGGAATTCAATAAATGTTTCAAGACAAGGTAGCGTGCCCTATTAATATTCATGAAACAAAGATACAAATGTTCCTCCAATTCATCCAATTGATCACTAAAATTGCACTGATTTTTCTTCATTAGCCGAGCCACTTCACCGTTGGCTTGGAATAATTGATCTTCTTTTCTCTCAATCCAAAATCCAATATTCGTCTTCATGTGCTTCAACTCATCATTCGCTCGAGCCACAAGTTGGCTTATTGTCTCAAAGTCTTTACTCAATATATAAGTCCCTTTAGCAGCTGCATCAAGCTGAGCTGCTAATCTAGCTAGCTTCCTTTTTGAAGCCATGTCCATTATTGAAGCCGTAACAAATCCAGGCACAGCCACAAGCAACACAAAGCCATGTGCCAAAACAACCACAATAAGTGAACTTGTTATAGTCATAAGCAACAAAGTCAAGCCACGTCTTAGCCTAGTTATTAATTTCAGCTTGGCTCTCACTTTATCACGCTTTGACTCGAGCTGTTTTAGCATGTCAAAGCACTGGGATTGGGTTGACCTAAATGAGGCAAACGGGTTTAAAGAGTTGGAGAATTTGGTTAGATGGGTGATTAATGTGGAAAAATTGATTGGAGTAAAGTGAAGAATGGTGTTAAGGGATTGATACTTAACACGCATGTGATTAATATCTTTTAAAATTTGGCTACAAAGTAGGGAAGCATTAGCAGTTTGGGTAAAGTAGTTTAAAAGAAGGGAATGGACTTTGGGAGGGTGATGGGTCATGGATAAGACTCGAGTAATGGTGGGTTGATCCGGATCCAAGAGATGCTCTGCAAACAAGCGGTAAGAAGGGAGTCTGGCTGCTATGGAAGATTCTATGTAAGAACAGGCAACAACATGTGCCCAGAAATTGAGGTATGATTCGGTACGAAAGGTGCTAGCATATTCCTCACATACGTCCACGCCGATATGGTGATTTGGAGAGTCAAGACTATACGCTGATAAAAACAACAATGTAATTAGTTTTTTCTAATTTGTGAGTGATCATTCACTTTTAAAATAAAAATAAGTAAAAAAATGCTTTTAATCAATTTAATTTATTTTTAAACTTTATTTTAACTCTATCTTCCTTTGATTTTGTTAAACTTCAATTTAATTTTTTAATTGTACCTTAAAGTTCACTTTACTTTCTTAATTTTATTTATTTAAATTGGTCTTTTATTTTTCAAACTATTACAAATTAAAATGCTTTTGTTAGAAAGGTTATATATTACTAGTTCATGACCTTATTTTAATTAATTTTATATTGTCCACTATGTAGAGATGAAAAATGGGTTAGTTAAGTCCTCAAAGCCTAACCCTTAATGAATTTGAACTTGAACAGGCTCAAAAAATTTGTTTATACAACAAAATCTTGTTGACAAAATCTAACTCTTGGTTTTGCACTCTCAAGGCTGGTCTTATGACTTTTAGGTCCCTTTACATTTTTTAATATTTTTAAAAATAAATACAAAAGGTAAAATAATAAATTTCATAAAATTCCTAATTCAAATCATAAAAATAATCATGCTAAAGTATTAAATCATTGTCCAAAGCTAAATATACTAAACAACGCTCTTGTAAATCTCATTAAGAAATAACAGTTAAATATAAGTTGCAGCATCAAAAAAAATTTTTGGCCAGGCAACATCAACATTCATAATTAAGCTAATGAGATCCTATTTCACATAATAAAACATTAAAATTTATAAATTTATAGTTCAAATAATAAAATATCAAGTTATATAAACATGAAACTACTCTCTCATTAAAAAAATATAATTTAAAAGTATTAACACACATAACATAAATCAAATCATTATTTAAAATTAAAGAATCTTAAACGGAAAAATGTTACAAAATAAAGTAAAGTATAGATTTTGAAAATATATGAAAAGTATTTGTAATTTTAACAAACTTGAAGGGATGTTATTGTAAGTTTACTTTTACATACACATAGAATCCATGACAAAATCTATAACGAAATTAAAGAACTATATACATCTGACCAAAATAAAATTAAGGTATAAAAGTTCAACTGGAGTTAACCAAAATGGAGCTAAGGGTAATATACTGATATTTAATAAAATTTAAAATAACTTTGAGAAATCAAGCAATATATTTTTATAAAAATAACATAATCGCACGCGTTTCTTAACCACCAAATAATCAGAAGATTTATATCCATGGAAATGGTATTTTTTTTTTCATAAATAGGACATATACAAGAACCATATTAACATTTTTAAGGATCAATTGTCAATATCCATTGTTAAATACAAGTGCAGTGTATTTCTAATTAATGATCTTCCTACTGGCAACGGCGATCTTTGGTGAATATCATGGTCCATATATCAGCTATATGCATGTATATTTGATTTAAAATATGGATTAAAGGCATAATTTATCTCTAAATTTTTTTTAAAGAATGTTGGGTATCTTGTAGTAGAGGGTATGGCAATATCCCCTCTAAATATTTTTTTTTAAAGAGTAATATTGCTCCTCCATTAAATATATGTTGATCTGACTACTGGTTGACTTAAAAAATTATATCAAAGTGTTTTTAAGAAAATTTAAACTAATTAAATCTCTTAAATTATAAATAAATTTATTAATATTATTTCTTACATGTATAAAATATAAAAATATCATTTTAGTCAACTATTTTGACCAACTACTAGATGATCATCGAAATTACGAAAGTTGGAAATACCAGTAAGTAATTAAAAAATATTATATTTTTTAATAAAATCTTGTTAAAACATTTAAATATTTAATAATTTAAATAATATTATTTAAAAATATTCATCTAAAAATTATAAATCATCTTTTAAATATTAATAACTTAACTAGTTTTTTTAAAATTTATAGGTGATTTGTATATTAAAATAGTATGATAAATTATTAATTTTTCTTCAAAAATTTATAAATCATAAAATTTGACTTGTAAATTATATATGAATATTTTTAATAAAAATAATATCTAAATTATCAAGTATTAAAGTATTAATATTTTAATATGTTATTAAAAAAATTAATATTTTTAACTACTTATCTGTGTTATTTCTAGCAATGGTAATTTGATAATTACATAGTAGCAACTCAAAATTATTGGTTAAAATGATATTTTGATTTTTTATATGGGTAAGAAATAACATTAATCTATTGAAATTTATTTGTCATTTAAGACACTTAAATATAAAGGCCTTTTTCTGTAATTTTATAAGTCTTTTACTATAATTTTTTATGTTATTTGTTTTAATTTTTTGGGTAAACTAATAGTCAATATTAATGAATATTTAATAGAGAGACAATATTATTCATTAAAAAATTGTTCAAAGGGAATATTAATGCTAATAACTACAAGGTTACAGTACTCTTAAAAAAAGTTTAGAAATAAACTAGATCTTTAATCATAATGTAATATTTTATGAATATAATATTAAGCTTGGTCCTCAAATTTAGCTCAGTCTTTCAAGCAATTTCTCTTCTAAAAAGAAATTTTTATAGCACTGTTTTTTTATTTTTTAAATCAACTAATAGTCAATATTAACAAGTATTTAATACAGGGGCAATATTATTCTTTAAAAAAATTGTTCGGGAAAAATATTAACTCTAATAACTATATGGTCACGGCACTCTTTTAAAAAAAATTAGGGATAAACTAGATCTTCAACCCTTAAAGTTATACATAAATTTGAGCAAGAAAAAACAATCCACGTACCAGGACATGAAAGCAGCTTTTTCATCTGCTGAATAAGTTTCTTCGTCATTCGTTCTTATATTATCCACCGTAAGAGAGCCTGCAAATTAAAGAGGGCAATAATTTTAAGGAGCAAAGTTAAAGCATAAAGAAAATTTTACAGTGTGTTATGCGGAATGAATAAAATTCGATGAAAATTTTCACACTGTGTTTTATTTTTATTTTTTTTTTGGGGTGGAGGATAAAAGGTGAAAATCAAATTTTAAATAGCAAAAAAATGTAGGAATTAGGATGTATTTTTTTAAAAAAAATAAAAGGATAGTGAGAAAATAAAGACAATAAACCTACATAATGGATAGTAAATTATAAATTTTCTAAAAACACATTGTTCATTATTTGTCCTGTGTATAACGGTGTTAGAGATTTTAACATATATAGATATATAGGCTATTGAGCAAAATGAATTAAAATAGAAAAATGGAATGGAACATGAGAGATGCGGATATTGCAAACCTGATTAAGAACTTGAAAAGAATATTTCTTGATTAAAATCTTCTCGCCTGCAAATAAATCAAAAAAACATGACAGTTTTGGGTGTCTTTTGAATATTTCTGGATCGATCCCCTTCGCTTTTGCATAAGCAAAATTTATATATGCTTTCACGAATCAAGGTTTCTTTTGTTCTTTTTCCCTTGCTTCTAAGAAAGAGTTTATTGTGTGTGTGTGCGCGCGCACGTGTGGAAATTAAATCAAATAATCCATTAATTCATAGTATGTAGTGTACGTTAAGAGTAATACTTGAAGGGCATTGTTGAAGGAAAATGCCAAATTTTGTTTCAATCATAAGCTAATAGCAATTTGAAGCTTTAGAGCCTTCAATCATACTTGAAGGCGGAAAATGCCTAGTGTTGTAGTTTTTAAGTTAAGCAACCTCAATAGACTTCAAGATACTTTTGTTTTTTTGTTTTTTCTCTCCCCTTTTGTTTTATTTTACTCGGTTAAAAAAAATGCTTTCATTTGGTTCAAGTTGAATTTAAGATTGGATGAATCATACTTAAGTCCCAAAGATATAGTTTTATTAAATAAAGTCCTAACAAATTTTAAAATGTAAAGTAAAATTTCTTATATCCTTAACTAATATTTTCATATAGGGAGAATGATAAAGAGGTTTCAAAAATATCAATTAACTTAATTTAGATCTCAAGTACTAACTTTTAAAAATTTACAAGTTTTACTTTCAATTTTATAATTTTATTGTAATGAATTTATAATTTATTTTTATAAATTTTAATAGGAAAAATAAATTTATTTATTCTTCAACTATATTAAAATTTAAAAAATAAATTAAAAATCTTATTTTTTTTTTAAATTTTAAAATTGGGAATAGATTGCATTATATGAAATTACTTGAGTAAAATGATCTCATTAAAATTTAAGTCTTCTCCACTTAGATTAAGGTCATTGATAGATTGATGGTTGATAAATGTTTGTTTGAAGTTTTTTTTTTGGTGGTATGTTTGAAGTTTGTTTCTAAGCCTAATTACTAAAACATGTGGTCCAAGCCCAATAAACCAGAATTGGCCCAAAAGTGTAAATGCAGAATTCCCTTGTGTTTTGATCAAAACACCGTATATGTACCAAGTGAATGTGAAACAAATAATAGCAGTCTAAATTTTTTAAGCATCATTTTTGGGTTTAATTTTTGAAGGTGTGTATAAAAAAAATATTATTTTAAAAAAATAACCCTTTAAATGACATTCAAAAACAAAAACAAAAACAACATATCTTTCGTCGTCCAAGATAAAATATATATATATATATATATATTTGTTTATATGCATAATATAATTCCTTCCGAGATTAAAAATTTAAAAGTTCGTGCTAAATTTATATATTTTATTTAAATAAAATTATTAATAATTAAATAATTATAATATTATAAATTGAAACAATATTTAATCTCACTTAACGTTATAAATTTTCTCCTTTATCTAAAAAGTAGATATTTAACTTTTTTATAAGTAAATTTTTTTTACTCAACCAATTATATGATAAATTTTAATTACTATAAAATCTCATCTTAATATTACATAAATCTCAAAAATAAAAATTAGATTATTAGATGCTAATTCCAATTCCCGAGAGACAATATTAACAAACATGAGTAAAGTGCTAATACTATCAGGATCATAACCCAAGCTGAAGGCAAATAATCCACAATCTTGCGGATGTCACTACATTTACTGATAATTATGTTATCTTTAATATCTCAATTCTCATAAATTAAATAAGATTTAAAGATAATGATATGCGTACCTGAAGAATCTATGATTGAATGCAAGACCTCGATTACCTTGAGTATAAGCAGACGTACAATCCACTAGACCCCTGTAATCTTCAGAGAGTGCAAAGATAATGGAGATAACTGAAAACTATCATGTGTTAAATGGTTATCAACTAATCAACTTATAAGAAATAAATTAATAATCACTTTATTAAATAATTAATTAATTACATTCCATTATCTTTGATTTAGTCAGTTAAGAGATACGGAATAACTGACAACTACTGGGTTGTAGGTTGGGCCTCTACCCATTAGACTCACTTGTGTGGTCCACCTATCACGGTCCACATAAGATCATAAAGACCAATATGTTTAAACTTATTAATTAATGTAAATTCATAAATAAATATTCTAACAATCTCCCACTTGGATTACATTAATTAAGCAAGTTGTATAAATAAGCCACAAACAAAATTCAGAAAATGAAACTTGACAAAATCACTGGATCCTATGGGAAAACAAGTGATATAATGTCTCATAATCTAAATAAAATATAAAATTTTATTCAAACATAGCTCAACAAGATAACAACATAAATCATTGATTTCTATGAAAAAACAAGTGACATGCATAGCGTACCACAATAGAATCATTGAATCCTATAGGGATACAAATGATATAAACGCATCTAACTGAACTGAACATAAAATGGGTCTTTTGACCACAACTCAGTAAAGAGACGACACAAAGTCAATTAATTATATAGGAAAACAAGTGATACAAGGTGATCTAACACAAATCATTGAATCCTATGAGGAGACAAATGATACAAAACACCACAAATCTCTGAACCTAGATTGAAACTCAGTAGAAAAATAATACAAAATCACTAAATCCTAGGAGAAAACAAGTGATACAAGATGCATAAACATGAATTATTGAATCCTATGGGAAAACAAATGATATAAAGCACCTCATTGGTTCTGAAACAAGAACTGAGCATAATAGCAAAATTAGCCTTAAACCATCAAATGTCCTTAAGGACACAACTCAAACTCTTACTAAACTAAGGCTGTCTCAAAAGATCAATAAAACCCATATAGGTAAGCCTTTGGTCATACAAAAGCATAAGCATACATTCACCATAAAAGTGAACCACATGAGTCTGAGTGCCTATAATCTTCTCCAACAAAAAAAAACTTTAAGAGAAGCACAAGGTAGACAAAATATCACATTCATAGTTAGAGGAAACAACAAAATACTTGTCCAATAATAATTTCCTCAACTACAACCTAATGAAAGGCTTTACAATAAGCTATATATATATATATATTCCATATTCTAAATTGAGGTAGCTACAAGTGTCTATAATTCACTCAATTTTACAAGATAGCTCCTCTCTGTATTATGGAATACATAGGATGCACATTCTAAATCCTCATAGTCACAAATTTAAAAGAGGATCACATTTTAACAACTAACATTAGGTGTCATATACCTTTCAACATACAAGAATTTTTTTTTTTTCAAAATGATCTTAGTATTTTCTTGCTAAGATTTTGCAAGTATTTACAAAGGGGTATACAAAGCAAAATCTAGATCAAAGACCAACGCATATTTTAGCATCCTCAGAGCCATTCATAGCGGAAGTGTATAAAACTCTTTATATGCAAATTTAAAAAATGGTCTTCCTCAACATTAATTTTGAGGATGTGAAAACTTAAGCAAATTTACACCCCTTAAACAGGTATTAAATTAGGAGTGTTCATTAGATTTTTGAACACTTAATTAAAATGGGTTGCTTGAGACAAATCAAGGTTGTAATTAGACATATTTAAATGGATATTAATCCTTAAATAAATATGTCAGATAGAAAATTTTATATCAAAGTGGCACGACCACAAGTATGTTGTCTCATTTACTTAATCACTGGCTAGTGATTGGCTATTAGCATGGAGTATAAGAAGCAAAAGACTGTTTTTCCCAAACAATTAACAAATATACACAAATCTGAAGTATTTTGATTAAAATTAAAAGGAGCTAATAGCCTCATCAAAACTTCAGATATCATTACCTAAAGACTTGCTTATTCTCAAGGATGGTTTTAGATAGTTGCACATTAACTGTTCCCAACTAAATTCTACAAAACCATCTTATTAAGGTACTTCAATTGCTTCCTTCAGGTCTCTATTCGTTTGAGATAATTTAGTGGCAAATTATTATGACATCTATGAGTAATGTGATAGTGTCCTCACCATATATAACAAGAAAGGCTTATTTTTAACAAGTGGATTCATTACCAACCTCATCATTATGAAATGAAGTTGATGAACAAACATGCTTAGGTAAAGGTAGTGCTCTTAACAAGTAGACCAATAGTCTAGGCCCATAACTCTCACAAAATATTTGAAAATAAGATTTAAATTTGATTAACTCGATAGTGAGCAACAAAATGGGCACCTTTTTAATCCTATGCAATAGTAAACAATGAATTCCTTAATAGATTTTGAGATTAAGTTTCTTCAACTAAAGATCTCAATTATGATTTCTAGCCTAATACAAATAATTTATCTTATATTATTTTAGACACTAGATTATTAGGCATCTAATAAAAACATAAATTAAGGACTTTATCCAAAGGGTTCTAACAAAATGTATTTAATGTTACCATACCTATAGGGTACAAGAAACATCAAAACATTAAAACCCTTATTTGCAAAATTTTCCAAAATAAATGCCCAAGTACAAATAATGATAATCTTTGTTTTACTAAAAGCATCCTTTACCAATACAGTATTCTAAGATAATTTCAAAGTTTTAAACACAAATTTCATTAACAATAACATACCTATGGGGTAGAATTCATTATCAACATAATGTCTTAAAATATAATGTTCAAATAATACACTACCATGATTTGACCCATCATAGGTGAGCACATAATCACTAAGTATAAATGACTCTTAGCATGTGGATGGAAACGGAAATTCCAAATATTTGTAATTTTTCCATTTCTCTAATGAAGATAAATTATTAATAGTAAAACATTAGATATAGGCCTTACAATAGAATGGATTTTACATGCCCAAAGTGCCAAGAGCTCACCATAAGTTTAGAATTGTATAAACTTATAAAAGGACAATAGTCTAGTAACTCTCAATTAAATGAGCCTTATCTTGCAAAGTTATTCAAAACTTGAAACACTTCACCCTTCAAATTGGAAGTTCTTATGGGCTACTACTAATATTGTATGATCCTTCAATCTTTCCCCTTTCTTATGTGAAGTAAGAAGATGTCAATAATTCACAATTAGGTTGTAATAATTCTATA